AAAAAAATTATAAAATATTAAAAATTATAAATTTTTTAAAAAATATATATATCGATATATATTTTTCATAATTTTCCTGATACTTTGGGAAAATAGATATAAGAAACCTATTACTATTATTCAAACAAAAACTTTTATTAGCTTTAAAATATGCTAATAAATTACTTATATCTATTTAAGAATCAGAAAAATTATGAAAATATTAAAAAATATATATATCGATATATATTTTCATAATTTTCTCGATACTCTGGGAAAATAGATATAAGAAACCTATTACTACTATTTAAACAAAAACTTTTATTAGCTTAAAATATGCTAATAAATTACTTATTTCTATTTAAGAATCAAAAAAAATTATAAAATATTAAAAATTATAAATTTTTTAAAAAATATATATATCGATATATATTTTTCATAATTTTCCCGATACTCCAGGAAAATAGATATAAGAAACCTATTACTACTATTTAAACAAAAACTTTTATTAGCTTAAAAATATGCTAATAAATTACTTATATCTATTTAAGAATCAGAAAAATTATGAAAATATTAAAAAATTATATTATTATTTGTATCTGATTTACTCGAAATAATTTATATGTAGAAATAGACTATTTTAATTAAATTCTAGTTATAGTTTTTTTAAAAAAAATTATGACAATAGCTTGTTATAAAGACTTGTTTAGTAGTTTAAATTTGCTTCTAAAATTTTGAATTATTTTATTAAATATAAATTTTGATTCAAAAGCAATTCTTAGTAGATAAAATAGTTAAATGATTACAAATTATTTATAATAGTGAAATTATCAGTATTTTAAAAAATATATAATACAAAAAAAAACTATTTTATTTATATGTTAAATCTAATGTATAATATATTAATATAATTATATAATATTACCTTAAAATTTTTATTAATATTTACTAGCTTCTTGTTTTATATTTATACGCCATCTAACTTTAGTTACTCCTAATTCAATTAGTTGATCATCCTTTAACTCTTTTATACTATTTACTATAATCTCTTGTTCTTCAAACAATTTTTCTAAAGCAATATATGCACCTTTACCATTATAAATTTGATCTAATTCAGAAAAAAATTGATTTAAAGAAATATTATATCTAGTGATAGTTTGGGGTTGAGGTATTTGAGGTTGTGATATTTGAGGTTGAAGTATTTGAGATTGATATATTTGATAAAATAAATTATAAGGATTAAAACTCGAGAGCATAGTTGGTAGCATATTTGGTAGCATATTTGGTTGTATAGTTTGATGAAGCATAGTTTGACCATGAGGTGTAATCTGATTATTAAATGCAATTTGATCGTGAGATGTAATTTGATGAATTTTGGATTTTGTAGCATGAACCATTCCAAATATTGGATAGGAAGGGGGTGTATTAATTGTAGACAAGTTATTAATCTAAAAATAAAAATATATATACCATTGGCTACTGCTTACAGTATTCAGGGTCTTATTCAAGAATTCTATTTTTAAAATTGAATAGTACCCGTGGATACTGTGTGAAGAACTGGGTACTATTTGTAGGAGGGTATACTATATTGGAGGGTATTATATGCAGGGGTCTTATATAAAGATAATGACATATTACACAGATATAAGAACATATATAAATATCTAACTAAAAAAAACTAGCGCAGAAAAATCTGTGGTAAATAATATAAAAACTTGCGATGCCTTTTTTATTATAAGTACTATTTAAACTTGGATCTTTGAGATAATAAGATAAATTTCAAAGGAATATATTTGTGGAGGCCCTTGGTAAGAAATGCACTTAGACCTCCTTAAATCTTAGACATAATCAATTTGGAACTGAAAGAGAAAAATATGAGTGAAAACTTTTGGCAAAGTACCATCTTGGTATTTTTTGTTTTTAATAACTGGTTTTGTGCTAAAATATATTTTACTATTTTTAAGAGTGAAAACTTTGTATAGCACTGTTTAAACTTATTTGGTTCATAGAAATAATCTATTTAAAAAGCATCTGTGAAAGCTTTTTTATTTACATAGCTGAACATTGAGGATAGCATCTTTAGCTTTGAAGGAAAACATGCACCTGTAGAAGCTCATTATAACAATAATAAAAAATTCTGACTTTTTAATTTTAGTGAAAATTGATATAATTTTGAAGCAGAAAGTATTAGCAGAAATATCATTTCATTGTCTCTACATGCTTATCAATCAACCTACTTCCTGTTTCCTGTTACTAGAACACCAAGTCTAACTCACAATTCTTATACTAAGAAAATTATAATTATTATTATGAAACTTCTAATTTACTATTAACTTATTCTTCATAACACCATCACGAGCAATTAGTATTAGATCATGCTTATTGAAGAACTTGTTGCATTAACTGATATTCCATGAGATATGAATTCATTAACGTAGAAAAATTTAACTGATTAATTAAAAATATTTAGAATTGTAAGTTTAGTTCTAATATTATAAAATGATATAGTACAGCTTACCTTATCAGAATACCGATTTGGTTCTATTGGAGAGAAAGCCTCCTAACTTGATTACTAGCAATTCATTATTTTAAAAGAAAGAGATATGAAATATTTATAGATTTAAATATATTAGACCAATTGATAATAAATAATAAAAAGTGAAATCAACTAAAATCATACTTTCCTTGGAAGTCGTATTATGGTTAGAGACAATTCTGTGTTACTAGATATAACTTGCAGCTATATAAAAAAGATATAAAATTTTTTAAGATAATCTCAGATACACGCTTAAACATACACTGTATCTATAAAATATAGATCTTATAATTTTAGTAGCTCAAAAAAAAAAATGCCAAAGGGAAATTTTAATGCACGTCGAGCAAGAAGCACACAAAAAATACGTCAACAGTAGAATGTTCATGAGAAGTTAATGGTTGTGCTTTACCAGGAAAATGGACATAATATTTGTGCAATAGCAAACAAGTATGAAATTAAGCCAAAACAGGTTCGAGATTGGAAGGAAAAAAATATGACTTAATGCGTGTGGCACCTTATATTCAACAGCTTAATATTAGGGCTCGACCTAAGTATCCACGACTTGAGGATGAACTTTTAGAGTAGTTTCATGAATTAAGAAAGCAGCTTAAAATAGTAATCAGATATATGATCAGTGCAAAAGCTCGCAGTATTGCTAATAAACAAGAATATCATATCTTGTATTCTGATATATATAAATGTAAATTTTCTCATAAGTGAGTAAATAGGTTTATGTCCCACCATTTGTTAGTAAATCGCAGGTACACTATAGTTGCTCAACGATTGCCTGAAGAGTATATTGAAGAACAACAAAATTTTTTATCATACATTTATTTTAAGCGAACAGAATATAATTATCCTTTAAACTTAATGGGAAATATAGATGAAATGCCTATAGCCTTTAATATGCCAAATCAAACAACTATTGAGAAATCTAGAACCCGAACCATTTCAATCCTTACAACGAGTCATGAGTATACCTGTTTTATAGTAACCTTTTCTTGTCTTGTGGATGGTACTAAACTTCTACTATTAATTATTTTTAAATTAGTAAATGTGCCCTGAGAACAGTTTTCAGATGGTGTATACGTCCATGCAAATCTATGTGGTTGGATGAATGAGAAGGAGATGATTTGGTGAGTAGAGAATATATGGCATTGATAGGTTAATTTAGGCTCAAATCCATGTTCACTTCTTATCCTTGATTCGTTTACTGCTCATAGAACAGATCCTGTAAAGTGTTGTCTTAAGGAAAGAAATACAGATATTGCTGTTATTCCTAGTAGGCTGACTTCACATTTGCAACCATTGGATGTATCTTTAAATAAAGCATTTAAGGCAAAGGTTAGTTATAAGAATTTAAGTGAATTTAGATCTTTTTTCATAAATTTTATACTATATTATTATTAGACCATACAAACTTAATAAATCAGTTTTCATAACATAAAATTTTTAAAAGTGATCTGGCAACCCAGCTTTTAATTTTATTTTCAAAAAATTTTATATATAAAAAACATATAAAATTTTTTATAGATTTTTTAAAAAAACTTACCTGTATAGTAAGTATACTTGAAATTTTTTTTAGAGTTTTGTAAATTTTAACCTGGCTAGGTTATGAAAGCCAATTTATTAAGTTTGTATGACCTTATACTAAAGTTAAATTTTCAAAATTATATAATTTAGCACATATGTATTATAACTAGTGATAGACATAAATATATAAAGTTATACTCTTTCTCTATCACTAGTTGTGATGCACTTTTATCTGATCGACTAATCAGATTCAAGATCAGATATAATATCAATTCAGAAAAAAAAAATTCACACATTTATTCTAATATGAATTTTTTTTTTTAAATTGAATCTAGCATCATATCCTGATCTTAATTATTATAATTTTGGTTCTGAAATAATGCATTATCAGGTTTGGTTAGATTTTAAATTAATCTGTTCTTAGAGTTACATGAATACAACTGTATAAGACTAATAACCTTTATTTTTATTAACAAGTTCAGCATGCCTACAACTAATGGATGGATGAAGTTATAAAGGAATACATACTATTAGATAAAATTAAGTGATCATCATACTCACTAGTGACAGAATGGATCAAGGGAGCATGGGATAATATCGATCCTGCTATGATAAGACGATCTTTTAAATACTGCGGAGTCTCTACTGAAATGGATAGTTCTGAAGATAGTTCAATTTTCGATTTTGAGGTCTCGAGTAAAAAAAAAAGAAGAATCAGTATTGAAGAAGAGGGTAAAAGTAATGAATTAGGTTCTGAAAACATAGAAGATGTGGAGGATAATGAAAGTAATAATGAGTGTGAATACTGTAAATACTATAAATATAAGGAGGAAAATCATGTTAATGTTTGGGATTAGTTGGCCACCAAATATAGATCAAAAGCAGTCATCTAGCAATCAAATCAAAAAACAAAAATCTGTGAATCTGCTAAAAAATTATATAGAAAAGAAAATATGAAAGAAATCACCTCAGTTCATAAATAAATAAACCTTAAAATTTTAGGTTTTTATAGCATTTTAAAAGACAAATTTAATTTATTGAATTGTTATATTTTCATAATTGTGAACTCCGATCTATAGCTTTATTACATTAAGTAGACAAAGTTCATAATCTGATCAGGTTTGTTCTGTAAATATTTAAAGTTTTATAATATACTTTATGAGAAAAAATTTTTTAGATAAACTTTTAAAGCCAGATTTTGTGGATCACTTAAAATGTATAGTATAATATGATTTCTTTTCAATTTAAAAAATGATAAAGTATTTTATTTAATAAAACTCATATATTAGTATGATAAAGATTTCCTTGATATGATAATAATACGTATGATTATAAATTTTAATTTAAATCATTTAAAATCCTATGCGAAATATATACTAGGTCTAACTTGTACATGAATCATACGTATTGCCTTTTAATTATTATTATTTCTTTAGTACCCAGGTATTATTCAATTTTTACAAGGTCTAATTTTAAAAAGTACTCGGGGTATTACCTATAGTCCAATCACCAAGAATAGTAAGTAATACCAGGATCTTAATTATGAGGGGTACTATTTTTGAGGGATATTATAAACAGTGGCCAATGGTATTTAATAACGATAATAATATTATTATATGTATAAAAAAAAAAAAAAATACAGTAAAACTTCTATAAATGCACTTTCTTATAAATGTACACCCTCTCTAATACATGTTCAAATTTAGTTCCAACTATATTATTGTGTACATTATTAAAGTTTGGTCCCAAGTACATGTACTTATAGAAATTTTACTATATATAATTTATATAAATTATTATATATATACTATATCATGAGCTCATAATATTAATCGAGCAGGATTTAACTGGAGATAATGTTCATCTTCAACATAATATAGTATAATATATTATAAATATTTATATTTATTTCAAAGTTTCATAATAATTTGAGCTTGATTTTTCTTATTCTCATTTAAATCTGATTCCTTAGGTATATAATTGGTTTTTATTTTTTTATTTTTTTTTATATTTTCATCATTATTGCTATTCTAAATAAAAAAATTTATTAATATTAATATTAATATTATAAAATTAAAGATACAAAATATATAATAAATAGAGTTGGATCAGTCTTGATAAGACCAGTTAAGAACCAGAAACTAGACTGAACTAGATTATAGATACTATTAGGACTGGTCTTATTAGAGACCAAAATAAACTGAATAGACTAATTTAACTTTAATTATAAATAAAAAATTATACCTCTGATCTTCTTTTGTGAAATTGTTCTAGATTTTTTAAGGTAATATAAATATACATCATTTTTGTCAAATTATAAGATTTTTTACATTCATCGACAAAATTTAAAAAATCTTTATAATTAGTTATATACATAGCTTGTTCTTGACCATTAATCTTATTAGTTATTTCATAATCATCATTATAAATAAATTGAATATCCAAATATTTTTGTATATGATTATTTAAACTCAATTGAAACAAGTAAAAATTATTAATTTTTTTTTTTTTAAAAATCAACTATTTCCTGCTGAAGAACTAGTTTTTTTAGTATCAATAAAAACTTTCACTTTTAATTCAGTTAAATGAGTTACTGTAACTTTTGTTGTTTTTAGTTAAGTTACTTCTATTTCATTATCTTGATCGAGTATATCTTGATCAGTTCCACTTATATATTGGTTAATTATATCTTAGTTGAATATATTTTGGTTGAATATATCTTGGTTGAATATATCTTGACTAATTATATTCTGGTTGATTGTAGTATAATTGATTTCATCTTGGTCGATTGTATTTTGGTCACTTGTATCTTTGTTAATTATATTATCTTGACTTGTTTCTTTATTTTTACTTAAGCTATTTTCTAAACTATTTTTTTTATTTTTAATTCGATCATATCTTGAATTACATGCTGAACAAAATATTAAGTCAAAATTTTTATTAAAATTACTATTATATCCAAAAAATTTGGTTTGTTCTTTTAACCAAATAATTTGAGCTAAACGAGTTTTAAAAATTTTATAACACTGGTTATGAATTTGCTGTCCTCGTTTAGATTGAAAAGTGTCATAACAAGATGGTTTTATTTTTAAATCACATGAACAAGATTGATTCTTTAAATCTTTAAAGCAAAAAAGGCATTTTTGGCAACTATAACAAGTACTGATCTCATAATTACGATGCTTTAATGAAGATAAGTTAATGTTATGATAAAAACTTCATACCAAATTTTAATTATATATAATTATTATAGTACATTGTTTACGATAAACTGCTAACAATTACAAATACTATTTTTGAAAATTTATTTAACTGCTTTTAGTATTCATGTGTATTCATGATATATTGCTAGTAAAAGTAGCCAATAAAAAGGAAATCTATTAGTAAATTAGAAATAATCACTAATTGTTAAATAAGCTCTACAGAATATAATGAATAAAATACAGTTACCTATAATATAATCGTAGGATTTATAGGATTTACAGGACTCAGAAAAAATGATCTGCAAAATTAGCATATCCAACTAAATCGAAAAGAGCGATAATATGTAAATAATATATTTATAGTTATTAATAAAATGAGTACCATATATACCTCAGATTTTATAATCTAAAATAGTTAAAAAAAAAAAAGTTCTTCTATTTTGGTTTCATATTTCTTATTGAAGTAAGTTACCTGTAAATTGATATTAGTTCTATCTATATTATTGATCTGTTGATCGATTCTTACTGTGTATTACTGCTAAATTTTTCTAATTTTCTTTAGGTCTTTTTTCATATTATTACTTGTATTTGCTTTCCTTTTTGCCTTAGTTCTCTCAAGTGCAACCTTTTTGTCTAGTAATATAGCTTTAGTGTACTTTATAATACTTGTTAATATTATATTCTACAAATTATCTTTACTTAGTACTTCTAGTCTATTTAAGCTATTTTTCTTTTTCTTCTTTTTGTTGTCTAGCTTCTTTTCGAATATATTGTTTAGCTTTGTTTTATAGTCTTCCTAGTTTTCTTCTGTAGCTTTATCTAGATTAAATATCTATTTTTTGCCTTTTAGCTTTTTTTTACAAGCTGTAGTTCTAGATTTTTTTATAATTTCTGTTGCTATATTTGTTATTACTATTACATAATCACTATTTGTAATTGTATCAGACTCAGTTATCTAGTAGCTTATTAAACCTTATACTAGATCTTTTGAAATTCAAATATAGTTAATTCTGAATTTGATCTGATTGTTTGATCTAGTGAATTTCTTTTTATATAGGTGAAGTTTTCTAAATATATCTACTATATCTGAGTTGCTTAGCAAATTCAGAAGAAGAAGTTTCTGGGTTTGTTTTAAGTCTTCTCTGCTTTGATCTAAGTCTTTGTATCTTATATTATTCAAGTTATTTAATATAATAACTTTTATCTCTTTCTTATAATAATTATAAGTTCTTTTTATAACTTGTTGCTGTATTTTTTTTTTAGTTTTCTAATTGTTGTATAGTATATATATTACTTTTATCTGTATTTTTTGCTTTTTAAAGATAAAAAAAGCTTCTATATAGTATGCATTGTTTCATTTTACTTAGCTCAAATACTTTTTCCATTTCTTGTTTATGATTAAGCTAACTTCAGAATTTTTTTTCTTGTTTTTATTTGTATCTGTTCAAATCTCTATATAATCTTTATATCTACTCATGCTAAACTTGTTCTGTCTTTCTGTGATATTCATTTCATTAATTCTAATTATATTTACTTTTTCTTTTTTTGCTTATTTTAAAAGTATTTCTAATTTAATGAAGTTATTTTGATTCTATTAATATTATGTATAGTTATATTTAGTAGCTAATAGTCCTCTACTATAGTAACTCTACTTTCTTCTACTTCACTTTTTTCTCTACTCTTCTTTCTTACTAAAGACAGTTAGTTTTACTATCTATTACTATTAATTCAACTAGTATACTTATTAGAAGCGATTAGGAATATCTCACTTCATATGCTGAATTTTCTCTTCAAGATCTCTTATAAGCTAGAGTATATAGTTTATAGAGTTTTTATAACTCTTGTTTAACTCTTAGGATATTATAGAGCTACTAGATATTTCGCTAAGAGGTGTTCTTCTCTTTTTTTCTCTGATTTCTTTTTAGAGTATGCATCTTTTCACTAGTATTCTTTGTTCGAGTTTTCTGTATTAGATACTTCATCTTTACTTGAATTAATATCAAAGAGGCTTAGACTCTATATATTTCAGCTGTGTTTTCTTTTGTAAGTTATATTATAAGAAATATTTCTTTTCTCAGTATCTGTTCCTCTATTCTTTATTATCTCATCTTTTTCTTTTGCCTAGCTGAGCCTAGAGTTAAAGTAAAATACTATGAACTTTATATTATTTGTATAGTCTTTTTGGTTTTTAAAATATATAATTGCACTTATTCTACTATTTCTATTAGAGTTTTTGAAGATATATAATGTCTTAGCCCCTATGCGTTTAACTTGTCTTCATAGAAGAATTTTATTTGTATTTTCTGACAAGTTAAGCAACCTTCTACTATAATTATTATGTACTTTCAATTCTTCAAAGTTATATTTTCCCATTATAACTCTTACTAATTGATCTCTTATAAATAGCAGATACTATATCTTAGCTAGGTTTTTTGTACTTATTGTATTAGGGAGAAAGCTTACTTCTGCTCTAGTTTTGTTACAGAGTTCTTTAATTATTTCTATATATATTATTCTTTCTAGATAACGTATTGTTTCAAAAACTTAGGATCTTCTTATCTAGCTTAATAAATTCTATACTATTATATAATCTTTATTTGTTTTTAGATCTGAATTCAGATCTTAGTTTCTGAAAGCTAGTTTGTTTTTTGCTACAACTATATGTTTTGAATTAGAGTATTGAAGTGTTTTCTTTTTTCTTTGTTTAGAAATTTTTTCAAGCTCTCTTTGCTCTACTTTCTCTTTTATCTTTTC